TATTTGGGCCTTCGAGCACAAAATCCATTTCTACACACCTCCTCTGCTAGCAGAGAGGCACACAGCTTGTAGAATATGGCCACAAATAGTCCACTTTGCCGGAAAAATCGCTACTTTGCCAGTTACGAAAGTTTGGAAAATGGAACATAAACATCGTCAACTATCCAGAATAAATATCGGCATATCTAGAAAAAATCACACAAATTCATACTAGACGATTGTATTTGTTGAAATGTTCCAGTTCTAAAATGTTCGATTCGAGCTTTACAAAACACAAAAAACGCAGTAACTCGCCCATTTTTCGTCGCACAACAAACATAAACATATCTGCGTATCCGCCATTTCCCTCTGCTCCCGATGCTGACTTCTGCGCAACAATACGACGCAACCCAAATAAGGAAATGCTCGGAAACTCGGGTATGTCGGTCCCTGCTCGGAGTGGACTCGGCTGCCGTCGCTGGCAGTGATGTCATTTTCGGCTCATTTGCATAGCCATATATGGAATTCTGGCGGGAGAGACCGCGGCGAACATAGGCATCAAACGAAGTACCGCCGGGCCGGCGGACAATAGAAACCAGCGGGATCTAGCGCCGCAAAACAAAAGGCCGCGGCGGGTGCTAAATACGTCCTCCCTCCTTTCCTTTTTTCTACCTCCATGATATGACCAATCAACCATCAATGACTGGCTCTTTTCCAACCGATTGGACTTTTGTGGTTGGTTAATTTTTACTATACGTAAATGAGCTGACATGCAACATCAAAGGCGACTAGTACTAACGGTTACATCAAGGCACCAATCGGATTCCAGTATTGTTTGGACAGGGCAGGCGGAGAGTGACCCACAGGGCAGTCACGCTGCAGCGCACGTGAGAAAACTACCGTCGAAAGTGCAGTAACCGTTAGGGCAACTTGACCACTATCTTCTAGACCCTGTTCATGCCAGACTTATATTTAGCGGTTTTCCTCCGCTAATTATTTAGCGGGTTTCAACCGGTTTTTAAAAGTCTGGTATGAACGGGATCCTAGTCTAGAAGGTTTAAGCAAGGATGTCTTATTATATTATATCATATTATGTCATATCATATCATACTATATACACAAGACTTCTATAACGCAACGTTATATCCTTGTTCTTAGACTAAGCTTGAATGTAAGGCCATGTTGATTTGATTATATGGATGACATCCACGCGCGCATGAATTTTCGGCCGTTTCCAAAAAAAAAAAAAGTTTTCAACCATACTGTAAATCGTGCAAAACAGTTGCTAAATGAGCAAAAATATACCATAAGTTGCAAGGAAAACATTTAGAAACGATACCAATGCCGTAGAATGCCAAAATCAAAGGAAAAAAGACAAAAATGTAAAGAAATGAATTCGAAGAGTAGATTATTCGCCATAACATATTCTGTGCCATTTGTTCAACCTTCATGAACACGTAGATTTCATAGTGAAAGCAACTTTTTTTTTTGCAAAACTTTTTTTTATTCGCACGCGCGCATCAATTTTGGGGTTCCCAGAGGATGTCATCCATATAATTAAATCAACATGGCCTAAACCACCCTGGTGACTTCACAAGCAGATCTTCATAGCTGATCTAGTACTAGTAGGGTTTCGGCCTCAAGTTTACGCCAAAAAGCAGTTACTCTTTCTTTATTTGCTTGCTTCCTTGTACGTTTTTTCTGTGGGGCGTTAAAGACGAAAGTGTCATAAAATGAAAAGTTGAATATTCTCAGATCCAGCCTGCACATAGGGATGTCATATGTCTTTTATATACTAGTAATTTAAATGCCATAGCCGATGTAGAATTCCTTGATATTAAATATCATCCCATTGCCCGAAGGCAGACACCAGACCTTGACCTGAGACACATTGACCTCAGCTGACACCGTCCGAGCATTCAATATTTTTATTTCGAGACTATAAACTCTTAGACACCGGTGTAGCACCCGAGAATTTCTATTTTATCATAATCGTCCGCCTTCACAAGTCAGCGATTCCCGCAATTATTGAACTATGCCAGCTGGTTCGAGCCTGTTGGAACCGGCTTGATTCTGGGTGCTACCAAAAATGAGAAGGTAGAAAATGCTTCGACTTTGCACAACAATGATAGTCTGTTGAAAACTCGTAAAGTCTAGCAATAATTTATACTGGTAACAAAACTGTAATCAACTATTTTCCGTTCTGAAGGTGTTGAATAGATTACTTATAACGTTATATAATACAATGAAATACCCACTCCCCCCTATTCTGTTATGCACTATTCCTACGGAGTGCGGAAGGAGGGCAGCTGTCATCAGGACGCGGACAAAGGACAGATTGCGACATCGACTGCCTGGTACGAACGATCTCCAGTTTTTGAGGAACCGACTGTCGTGTTTTTGTGTACGAACGGAGGCTTGTGACGGAAAAGAATATGGTAAGTCGCGTAACGTTATTTAGGCTCTTTACTAACGTTATATAGTCACCCTGATTGCTTCTCGTATAGCGGATGCCGGTTTACAGGCGGTTATATGTTACGTATTTGGTATTCAGATGTGACATGTAAACAAAGCATGTATTCGTGGTGTCGGTAAAGATTACGAATACCATGGAGTTAAAAGATCATGCGAATACGTAAACCCCTGTGTGATAATTTACCCTCTATTTTAGGGAAGGGACGTAACAGTTTAATATATAATTTTAACCAGGACCGATGGCAAACACCCTAGATAGCCGAAACATAAAATTTGTCTTTTAGAAAAACAATTTGTTTTGAAACCGTCTTAAAAACCTGATCATGGAAAATCAAGGAAAACTCGCTTAGTTGTCAGTGTCAAAATACTGGAGCAGTTTCACCTTAGTATGAAGTATTGGACATGTTTTTGTTTACGTTGAAGACTCACCTCGTGTGAGCTGTTTCCTGCCACCCTTTTCTGTCACCCAATCAGATGGCACCTAACAGACAACACCCATCAGACGTTTCCTGTCACCCTTTTTTCTAGCCCAATCACAATAGCACTCCAATGACAACGCCCATTGCACTTCAGTTTTTCAGAGAAATTGAATAAATCTAGAAATCCAGAAGGCGCAATTCTTGTTTGAAAAGATCACTACTTTAATATTTGCAACATTGTGGAATTACAGCATGTGTAGGATGAGAAAATTTAATACCATTCTTGGCCAGGGTTGGGATAGGCAGAGGTTGGGTAAGGGTTGGGCAAGGGTTGCATAACGGTTGGCTGACTATGCAAACACCCATTGCACAATGCTTTCTAATTGCTAAGTAAACAGTTAGGTGTTGAAGACCAAAGTACACCTTGCTAAGTGAATGATGTTCTGTAGGTCACAAGTGAAAGGACTGCAGGTAAAAGCCATCTTTCCTGCTGTTGTGATAGGCCAGCTTTTTTCTCTGCAATGCTACATATCCACACATTATTTTCTCAGAAAATTGATTTTAACATTGCATACTAGTAGTTGTTTTAGGAAATATCAAATTTTTACATGAATGATACATGAGATTTGATTTCAACAGCACTTTAACAGCCATCTTTTTTCGTAGTTACCACTTACCAGTGCTACTACCTAGTATTAGTATCTAAACATATGCTTTCGTGGGGTCGTGTGGCGCAACGGCAGCGTGCGCGACTCGGAACCTAGAGGTCCCGGGTTCGAGTCCTGACATGCCACCGATCTTGTGCCCTTGGGAAAGGCACTTTACACGACTTTCCTCACTTAGCTCAGGTGAAAACGAGTATTGTATTGTCCCCTGTGTTGGTGGCGGCATTAATATAAGTTGAAAAAACTTGAGTGTGCTGTCACCATGTCTGGTGATTACATGTTGGAATTTAAAAAAAAACAAAACAAAAAAAAAACATATGCTTTCTTGCTTCCAGCCTGGACATATGAATCGCTCCAAAGCCAGCAAGAAGATCCCTCTGGCCTTATTTGGACTGGGGAGGGCTGGCAACATCCACGCGAGGAACATCGAACACAACCCCCACTGTGAGCTGAAGTACGTGGTAGATGAGGATGTGGAGAGATGCAACCGTTTTGTGGAGGAATTCATGTCGGAAGCCATTGTTGTGAAAGCAGCTGAGGCAGACATTGTATACAATGACCCTGAGTAAGTTATTATAACTGGCAATTGTGTAGCATTAATGTTTAATGTTCAATTACAGGTCCTGTAGTGTCTTGTCACCCTTTGTAATAGCCATTTCAGGCTACTCTCCAAGCAGAGGTTGGTGGGGAAAATCGTCAACCTGGTGGGGAGGGCAGACAGAAACCGGGCGCATGATAAAGAACGTCACAATTTTCCCCACCAACCTCTGCTTGGAGAGTAATTTCAGGCTAGTTCGGCGGCGCTGACCAAAGAAAGTTGTAGCCTTAGAATAATTCAGCCTGTTATTACACCTGTTCAGAGTTCTGTCAACCTAGCCTCCATAGTATGCCAAAAACTGAGGGCTTTGGGGGTCTTCAGGCCCTGAAGTTCAGGGTCTTGGGGATCTTTTATGTGCTACATGTATTTTCTGATTGCATATAGACAACATAGCCAGCCTGGTTGAATTACCCCCGTTTTTAGAACTGGACTAATCAGAAAACAGCTGAAGACCACCAAACCCCCAGTTCTACATTAAAGCCTGCTACAGAGGCTATTGTCAACCTCCTTGGTTATGTTTTTGGGAGGGGGTTAAATAATTGGACCCCTGCCCTGGCAGATTGTTTACACAAATTACATGGTGGATTAACAGTGGGATGGGCTATAGCTGTGGCCAGCTAATCCCTGCACCACAGGAGGGGGCAGGCCTGAGTGTCTTGAAGCACAGTAACCCATCAAAAAGCCATTAGTGGATTGCTGCTAATGCAGTAAATAGATAAAAGCAGTTTTGTATTCACACAGAATTCACACATTTATTTGTCACACAGCCTTGTTGTTGTTATACCGTGTTAACAGTCTTTAATTGTCTCCTTGGCCTTTAGGGTACAGGGTATTGTGGTGACCTCCCCGACCTTTACCCACCCAGACATTTGCCTAAAGGCCCTGAAGGCTGGTAAGTGCTCCTTGTGTTGCACTCAAGGTTAAAGTTTTGGATGTAACTTGCAGAGCTGAACTATAATTCTATAAGAAGAGTAATGGTTTTGAATATGATTGCCTGGTACAGCTGGTTGAGAATAAGAATGTAATCATTCTGTTACTTCAAACAGGTAAAGATGTCTTGTGTGAGAAGCCAATTGCTGCAGATATGAAGACAACTGCACTTGTCTATGACGAGGCTGAGAAACAGGGCAGGATCCTCTTGTGTGCCTTCAACAGGTGAGAAAGCTATTCTTCTTAACCCTTGTCCTGCTGGCATTCCTGGCACAATATTTTTCAATAATTTCATGTCTTAATTAGATCATAGACCCCCAAATTTTTTTGCCCTGCAGTGGCATAGTTACTTCCGCATTCGTTGCGTTTCGCTGCGATGTGATGCGTTGCACGAGAAATACCCCCAAATCGTACCTATACAGGGTGTAATATAGATGGTACTGTATGTGCCGCGCGACATATGTTGCGCACAGCAGGACAAGGGTTTTGATATTGTGACTTGTGATGATTGGCTGTTCCTAGCAGTGTCAAAGCAAGGAGGTTATAGATCAGATAACCTCCTTGGCCAAAGGAAAGGTAGGAAACTGCATTTTATGAAAGACGTTTCTTGCAGCTCAAACTGATCCAAACAGTTACGTACTTTCTTCTAAAGACAATCATCATACACTTCCTGTCTTCTGACAGTATAAGATAAAAGAAATAATGACAGATAACAGTGTAGTCATGGATCAGCATACATTTATATGGGATTCAAATGAGCTTCTTTCAAATGACTATTTCTTGCAACAAATTATGATTACTTTGTTCTTTCGTCTCAGAATTAACATGTCTGTGGTTCATCATTGTTTTGTTGCAGGAGATTTGACCCAGCACTTCTAAATCTCGAGGAGCGGGTGAAGAAGGGAGAAGTTGGCCAGATCCACCGTTTCAAGACATCCAGCAGGGATTCTCCATTACCTTCCATTGAATACCTCCGCATCTCAGGTAACATCATGTTGAGTATCATAGGTGTGGAGTAAAGTAAGATATCAAAGTACTGGTTGGGTGGAGAGGATGCTGAGAACTGAGGAGGTATGTTGGTATCATAGTGCTGTGTGTCAGTTTGCTGGACCGGTTCTGGACTTGTAAAAATGTTTAGGTTCAAGTCCAAAAAAACCTAAAAGTCAAGAACCGATTCTGGACTTATTTAGTTATTACAAAAAAAAAAAAAAAAAAANAAAAAAAAAAAAAATTCACATACCCTTTTCTTTCCAAACCACCTAAAACCTTCCGTAGATTGCAAAATCTGTGCTGCAAAATGAAGAAAACATTGCCATCGGGCATTTTCAATTGTTGGCCTCCATGTTATGTGGCCAAAGTTTTTCCCAAACAATATTGCAAGGTTGCCAACATGCAATTTTGTATATGCCATGGGTTTAGGTCCGGACTTACGAGTCCAGAACTGAACCTAAACCTCTTGACTTGAATCCAGACCTGAACCTAAATGTGGGTTTAGGTACACAGCACTAGTTGGTATTATACCAAGCAGGTAAGTATGTAGACTTATGTGTTCAGACATTGCTTTGTGGGTGTAATTTGCTTGCCATCTGTCTTGCAAGGGTTTGGTTTTACCACCACTTAAGTATCACAACATTGTTGGAAATTTTTAATGCAGTCTGGGTACATTCTGGCAATCTTTGCACAATATTTCCATGTATATGATGCAATGAATATGTTTTAGCCATTTGATTGGAATATACCAGTATGAAAAACAGCATATTTTGATATTTTCATACTTCACAGTTTCAGATGTTTTCAAGTACTGGCAGCAACATTATAAAACAACTGTGGTCTTCTTGGTTGCCAGCAAGGAGACAAACCACTTTACTTCAAAACTTTTCATGCTTCTCCAGGTCTCAAAGCTCCCTCATGATATTGACAATGTAACAGAAATATGGATGGAACATTCATGACTGAACATGGAGGTTTTCTAAACATTCCTGTCTCTTCATGTCTATGACAGGTGTCAATCATAGGTGAGATTCAGCCATCCTGAAGTCTTCAACACCTTTCCAATGATGTGCATCCGAACTATTTACCTTTACGTTTTACTCCACAGCTTGAAGGCACACGGTCACAAGGTAACTATTGCATGTATGACACACACTTCAAACATACAAATGGAATGTCACTGTTTCATGTGACACATTCAGGAGGTTTTGAACCATTGCTGTCTTTCTATGTAGCTTTTAAGATCATTAAAGTTGTATGAGGGAACAAGTTATAATCAATATGTAATAGAAATTTCTTTATACTGTATGTACTAAAACAGCCAGATACCCAATGTGGATTACAAAGAATCTACGTGTACTAGCTGAAGTAGCAACCTAAAACCTAGAATGCCCTGACAGGTATATGTATATTCTCTTTTCATGTCAACATGAATGAGTGATTCAAATTTTGCAGTTGCCTCTCTGGCTGACAATGTGTAGTTGCTGTGAAGTATCTGTCTTCTGGAAAGAGGAAAAAAGGGTCCAATTTTTCAGCCTTTGCCTGCATGATGCTTAAATGTAGTGTACTGTCTCCCCCTGTTCAGGTGGAATATTCCATGACTGTGCAGTGCATGACATTGATGAATGCCTCTGGATCATGAAAGAACTTCCAACACAGGTAAAGTATAACAATGTCCACCTGCATAGTTCCAAACTGACAGTGCTGTTTTGCTTGTATGAATACATGGTATTATCTGTATGCCTGATAACATGTTCAAATGTACCCATGAATTCGTTACAGTGTCTGACATTGAAGATTAGGCCACAGCAAGTAATTTGTATGGATGACATCAGTGCGCGCATTGATTTTCGCCTGATTTTGGAAAAAAATGTATTAGCCCTCTGACAGTGGTCAACATGCCGAAACTGGGCAAAATGGCATGTCTTGCCATGCTGGAATGTGGATGGTAGATAATTATGAAGAGAGGAGACAAGATAAGGCTCTGATTTATTGTTTTGTCTTTTACTTTGATGCAGTGATGTATTTCATTCCTTTTATATCTTCCCACTGAATCTAGCCTGGGTTCCATCCTGGTTAGTTTACGTCCGCTCCCACAGTCGCTAGTGTGGGAGCGGACATTAACTAACCAGGATGGAACCCAGGCTACACTGAATCAAAACCATTCACACAATGATTCCAAACCTATTTTTGGCCTGCCTTCAGAGTCTTCAGAGGATGTCATCCATAAAATTTACTTGCTGTGGCCTTACTGATATTTCTGAGCCAAACTCTCCCCAGCTCAGTCTCACTGACTGTAACCTCCCCAGGTACACACGATGGCTCACTGCTTCAGCCCTGCCATAGCTGAGCTGGATGATGTGGACACTGTCTCCATCACCATGAAGTTTCCCAGTGGAGCGATCGCAAGTCTGGACCTGAGCCGCCTGTCTACTTACGGCTATGACCAGAGAACTGAGGTACAAAATGTATACATGTATTAGACATTTGCTAGGGGCGACATTCTTGTGAATTTTCAGAATAAGAAAGTTTCAACTTTCCTCACATGTAATTTTTGTCATCCTTTTTGTGGCTGACATGACTCTGGAATAGATGGAATAGATGCAGCTTTTTTGTATGTTCATAACCAATGATACTGGCAAATTCATAATTTTTGTAGTGCTAGGAAATATGTTTGTTGTACACCCATAAAATGCTGAAAAATTGCTTTCATGGAAAAAACTTGACCAATGTTGCAAACACACAATTCGTCCAATATGTCACACTTGAAAATTTTCCCCAACCAAATGTTCTATCATACCAATAACTAAAACTCTTAATACTAATCAGCTATGCCACTGCTCTAATTTTGTTGTTGTTATTTCCAGGTGTATGGCTCCAAAGGTATGCTGCTGAATCACAACACGTCCCCAACTGGCCTGCACTATTCTGACGAGAACGGGGAGACGGCACAGCCCATCTACTACTCCTTCCCACAGAGATACGCTGCCAGCTACCAGGGGGAACTGGTTCACTTCCTAAACCTCATTCAAGGTGCAGCCATCTTGTTATCCTACATTTTTATATGTACTTGTTATAAGCATGAGAGCATGTTGGCAGAACGTACTGTGCCTGCGCGAAACCCTGATTTTTCACGGTTTTTGTTAAATGTTTGGTCAACGTTGCATCAGAATTTTGCCTCTTGTAGAGGATATCTTTTTCAACATGTGTGAATCAACCTTATAATCTATATGAGACGTTCTGCTGAAGTGCTATGCATAATACATTACGAGTTTTGCGCAGGTGCATTATGCTCTGCCAAAATGCTCAATATGAGTAGGGAAGACACAGAAGTGTTGCAGAAAGTTACCATTTGTGAAGAGAAGCTTTAAAGAGGAAGATACTCACTTCTGCACTGGCATAGTATTCTTTTCCAAAGTTTCTTCCATCAATTGGCTAGCTTCCATACAAATAAAACAGTCCTATAGATACAAATGAAGTTTCTGTATGTCACAAGTAGGCAAGTTTCATTTACTGTTGTCTTTTGTACCAGGTAATACATTATTGCCATCTCAACTTGCTACCCAGAAAATCATAATAATTTATGTTCTACGGTTTGCCTCTGATTCTTACAGTGTTTCCCACACCTGAGAGTACTGGCTTAGTGCCGCTCCAGGAATGTTGAATTTGGAAGTCCTCAAATCTTGAAAAGAAAAGGGGGAGTAGTGTAACAGTGGGGGATTTATAGGCAATGCCAACCGATCCAGTGATGGGTCTAGACCTTTTAGCTGATTCGGTAGGAGTATAGGGTTTGTAAGCTGGTACCCGGGTTTGGTGTGGGTTCAATCCCGGGACCAGGATCGGGACCTTTCTGTTTCTACTCTCCTAATTCTTGCAATCTTGTCCATATTTCTACCTGCTGCAGGGTTGGAGGAACCCCGTATAGTGAAGAAAGACACGTTGCTGAGCAGCCACATCGCGGAGGCGTGTGAAGAGTCCCACAGGACAGGGCAGGCAGTGTCCCTGTCATACGATCACCTGATGACATCTCCACCTGCCCACGAGAAGGCAGTGGTGACTGACAACGGGTCTGGACCAGAGTGAAAGTCATGTTGCTTTTAAAATACCATCCATTAGGTCACACCAATTTAATTTGTTGTTTCTCAGATTTTTTTTCTGAAAAAATATGAAGCAACAGGGAAAAAAGAAATGGCCAAGGCACCCCACGAAGGCCATAAATGTTACAATATGAGCCATGGAATCAACATACCAGGCTGGTTTATAATTAAAAGTTTAAACATTAGATTTTGAACTTTTAATGAAACGAAGTTGCGTTGTTACATTGAAAAAACTTTAACAAGTAGGAAGAAAAGGACTTTCTTCAACCGTTGGGGCCAAAATATGTCTTTCATTGAGCAATTTGCAGTTGATTCAGAACCTAAGATCTTTTTTTTTTCTTTTGCAAATCAGAAAAAAATGGACAGGGTGAATCCGAGAAACAACAAATTAAATTGGTGTGGCCTTACCGGTACTTGACCGCAACACAATTTTGATATTGGACTTGTATCAAGTCTGCCAATGATTTTGACCAATGCATGACGAACAACATGTATGGTGTAACTTCCTGCATTTAGTAGGATTTTTGGTGTGATGTAGAATCGTATTGGCATTTTATTGTTGCAATGTCTTTGGATAATTAATATATTTGATATATCATATCATGAGAATTATTTGTATTTGATTCAGCAAGTGAAAAGGGCTTGATTAAGATGTACATCAGCAGAATTACTTAATAACATGACCATTAGGATAGCCTCAAATTGCAAGCTTTTAGAATAAGATAGTTCGGTGACAGCTTAGCAATGTGACCTTTCCACTTATAGCCAGCAAGTTCCCCTCAATTCATTCCAAGAAAAACCAGCTTGAAAACTACCGTGTACATATATTGTGTCTGATGTAATTCTGTATAAGGATAAGGGATTATTACTGATTCCATCGGGTAAACTATATGCTGTGAATCGCTATACTTGATATGTCTTCTAAATGTAACATTATAGTTAAAATAGAACAGAAAGAATGTCATAGAACATTATACATAAGGAGACAGTGACTGATGCGAAAATAAACACACAAAGACAATCATCTATAAAACATGTTGTAAATCAAGTTATGTTTCAATTCAGTAGAGTATTGGCCTTGTTCTTATAATAACTTGCAACTGTGGCATCAGCCAATGTAAATGACATTGACAATAGGTATGACAAGGCTATCTGGAGCTTGTAGCTGTAGGCAACTGACATAGAAAATGTTTCTGGTGTGATTGCGACACTTGACCAGATTTGGTCCCATCCATGTGACAGTGTTGGCCTGAAAGCGTTCAAAAAAAGAAGGAAGTTCACTTGAAAATTGATGTCAGGACAAAGTTACCTTCACACATGGGAATTATTGGTAAACATCTCGGCACAATCTACAGTACGTAGACAGGCACGCACTTGAAAACTTGTTGAAATGGTGGTTTGCTCTTACACATACTTTCGTGTCAAATATTTTCAATAACTTAATGATAATAACCATACAGTTTCGTAGTTGTAGCGTTGTATATACGCTTTATCGTCAGCACTTGTTCAGAAAAAGACAGGTAGACAATATCGTCTCAAGTGCGTCACGACAGCCCTGCGAGTAGCTTCAAATCACTTGCATGTTCCATACGAATCCCCTGCGTATCGGCATAGTCTCTACCAGACTAACTACGCTGGCTATATATAGGAGAATATTTGCCAGGGGAGTTTGGCCGCCTTGTAGGTTTGATTGGCCGCGCAGGGACAGAAACTGCCACTCCGCGGCCGGACTCCCTTGGCCAATTTTACTCTGTTTTTTGCCGAATTCTACGATCCGTATTCCCGTAGATAGGCATGATGGAGGCTAGTATCGGCGGGTCTATGGCCATGGGTGCCTCCTTCGCCTAACGGGAGAGACTTATCGACATGTAAGCGGGTTGAAGCCGCCTGGATGTAGTCGGGATGCGCAGGGACGCGTACCGGCGGTCATCGTAACGACGCGCCCGACTCAGGGTAAGGGACCCCGCGGTTGATGTCTTCAGTTCTATCTTATTCAAAAGACTCCTTGCTCTTTCCAGAGCAATGGTAGCGGGGGACGTAGGCCTGGTGTTGATGGTGTATCTCGCCGGGGAAGCAGGTCTATTATTAGCCGTGTATATCGGCGAAGCAGGCCTGCCAGTGTACCTGTCAAGAGATGAAGACCTCCTCTCAGACTCGTCCTGACGAAGACACATCACCCTAGATGGGCGGGCCGTGTCCACACTGTTGTACCACGAAATCGGGGACGACGTCTCCTTTCTAGTCACGCCGTTGTCGAGGAGACTCGACAGCTTGGCGCGGAATTCATTCCCCTCTCTCTTCACCTGGACGTCTTCCCGGTAGTGATTCCTCGTTTTCGGCGGATCTTCTTCTTTCTTTTCGGCATTCCGTTTGTTCTCTCGAGGGTCGATCCAACATTTGTAGTCCGCTGGGTTCCAGTCGGGCGGTAGATTCCTGCTCCGTTTGTCGTCATCATTTTCCTCTTCTTCTTCCTCTTCTTCGTCATCGTCGCTGACAACTTCGTCAAACTCTCTCAGTAAATCCTTTAGCATCTTCGTCTGTGAGCTGCGCCGACCGTGGGTGATGGTGTAGATCTCCTTGGCCTGGAAATAAAAGTACAGTCAAGCACGCGGAAGAGGTGTGCAGCACACGGGCATTCCGTGCATTTTTCTAATCACACATATTAGGCAACTATGATGCCTTCTACTTAAAAACATAAAACTAGAGTAAAACACAGTGACAAAATACATACATAATTACAAAGTGGGTAAAAGAAAAATGAGTATAAGCAAGACAATTTGGTGATCTATCAATTACGAGAATCTACCCGTACAGTAAATAAGGTTTTGAACTTGGGTTTACATCAAAGACATTGAAGTTTTGAAATGCATCGTCAGGAAATCATCTTGCAAAGTACTTTTTTTCTAGTCACGTATATTAGGAATTACACTGAAGCACACCTACCCCACGATGAGCGGAAAGTACTTTCCCATATCTATGATGTTGTTAAATTTCCCAGCAATTACGGCATGTTAAGTACTGAAGACTGCTTGTTGAGTGCTTGAAATGTTCTTTAAATCGCATGCACAGTTACGAAAGTAGAAATCGTAATAGCATTCGACCTTCAGGGTTGATATCTTTATGGTAGACACTCGTCCGTGATGTCTCTACGTTTCTTCTAGTCTAGCTCACTTGCCTTAAGGGCATGAAAGCGCCCTTTCTCCTGGTCTCCTAAGTGAAAGTAAGCTTTGCCCAATTTGTGATGGAGATTGCCTTGGTCAGGCTCGTTAGGTTGGAGATAAAGGCTGAGAAGAAAGGCCAATCAAAGACAGTAACGAAAGACAGGAAAATGAAATACGAGGAAATTAAAGATCGAATAGAAGTGACACAGGGGGGCGAGTGGGGTAGGAAGGTAAAGCATGAAGGAATATGACCAAGTGTTGGAAATGAACACATCTTAAGGACGTCAGACCGTCCTGGTCACTCACTGAAGTCCACGTTCCAGCCTGTGGCCCCAGTCGATGGCCTGTGTCCACTCCCCCAGCCCGGCTGCGGCGTGGAAGGCCCCCACCAGGATCCTGATGGTGTTCACGTTATCCTCGTGAAGGACCTTGTCAATCTCCAACAGGCAGTTCTGCCGAAACTGGAGCTCGTATTCCAAACCTGGTGTAATGGTTAAGGCGAGAACTTTGATTGAAGAAGCTATACAGTATAATAACACTGGTCTCGTTTTTTTTCTAGCCTTTTCCTTTTCTTTTCTAGCCCTCCTAGACAGTGGGTATTCACCCCATTCTAGCTGCGGGTCGCTCCTCTGGTAGCTCAACAGAATATTCGAGGATATCAGATCTGCAGAGGAACGGACTGGAGCTAGACTAGCATGAATACCGGCCTGCTAGTCCTACTCAAGCCGGCAAACATGACTCAGTAGGATTTGACATGGAGTTACACAACATTCCAAATTGTTTTTCTTGTCCACTTTTTATCATGGAGTTCATCTGTGTTGAAACTTGGTGGTAATTCATAGTAAAATGTTGAACAACACAAGGATTACACGTCACATATCCGTAAAACCTCGTGTGAATAAGGTCATGTTTGGAATTAAGTTCAATATTTTCCTTTGTCCACTTTTGTTAAGAAACTAGCGGTGAGCCACAAAAGGATACCATTGCACCATCTCCTCTCCTTGGTGAGGACGTTGTCCGCGTACTGCACAGCCGTGTCGATCTTGTCATGAAAGTCCTCGTCAAACTCGTCGTGTTCGCACCGGGGACACTTCTCATAGGTTGACTTAGATTCTGATAAAAGATTTGAAAATACACTTAACAGCCTCCCGTTTAATTCTGGACCTCCAGTTTAATTCCGGACCAATTCCCATATCTCAGCAACCTTACATCTAGATGTGCTAATATCGTAAACTACAGGTTAAAATGATGTAAGAAATACGTAGAAGCCATTAAGGACCCTTAATTTGCATGGGGATTAACCCAATTCTGCAGAATTCACGAGCCAGAATTCTGCAGAGCCAGAATTCTGCAGAATTCTGGGAACTGGAGCCAAAATTCTGGGAAGACTTCTGCAGAATTGAGTTAATCCCCAAAGGGTCGTCGAAGGCCGCTACATATACATATTTCTTACATCATTTTTACCTATAGTTTACGATATTAGCCTATCTAGATGTAAGGCTGCTGAAATATAGGAATTAGTCCGGAATTAAACTGGAGGTCCAGAATTAAACTGGAGACAGTTACTTTAATATAACTGTTATACGCAACTGTACAGTGCTTAAAAGATGTAGATTTCGGAATATTTCAATGTTTATATATTTCCATATTCATTACGTTTCGTTGATATTCGGTCATTGACCTTTCGCGCAGTGAGTTATAAATAATTCTGAAACGGGGTCATTTATTTCGTACCAAGGGTTCATCATTTCATGATTTATTTATGGATTGTTTTGATAACCCGCGGATGTCAACAGAATGATTAATAAACGGATGGTCCGCAACCAGTCAAGATTGGGTACTCTCTAGTTTGTTCAGTTGCAGAATTGAGCCACAGGTATAACTACAACGTTTAGCACCCAACTGTTGCAGTCGTCATGTTCAAATCTAACCATCACTTATCAAAGGCCAGTTTACTATATCTGTAGAAACGTCTGCATCATTTCTTACATTTTGAATGTAAAATGAGTGCAACTTGAGAGTCTTATACATGCCCGTAGCCAGGGGGTGGTCGGACCCCCCCCCTTCCCTTCTACACACAAGGCTCAAGGGTCCACTTTTTATCTAAAGGTCCAATATTTTTCTTTAAAATTTGGACTGATTTGTATCAACAGGGGGGCTTCAATCGTACAAAACTGCTCACAAATCTCATTGAATAAAAAGTCATTAAAAAAAAAGATTTTCCCTTTTAAATCCTCTCAAAAAGGCAGGAAATGCCATTTCAGAAGGTTCATTTTCACAATTTTCCGGGGCAGCATGCCACCGGACCCTTGCGCCTTCCAATCGCTGGTCCCTCAGACAGTGGTAACGAACCCCCCCCCCCCCATTCAAAATCTTGGCTACGGGCATTAAGTACTAAAATACCGTAGTGGCACACCTGGGTTAGGTAGTACTGGCCCTTCGCAGTTAGGGCATTTCACAGTTCTCATTCTCAAGTCCTTAGGCAGAAGGAACACACAATGTTACCGCAATCTCAGAACTTGGGATCAGCAGCTTGTAAATGCGAATATCCATCATCCAACAGAGGAAAGCAAACAAACAAACAAACAAACAAACAAACAAACAAACAAACAAACAAACAGGATAAACAGTGTGATTGGATCAGACGAAATCTGATGAAGACATACCCTGTCGAGATTGAGGCAGTCGGCACACTGACAGAGAAAGAAGTACTTCTCCATCAGGTCGTCTCTCCTGCGGTCTGTTGTCGCCCCCTTCTGAACATAGGCATGAAATACCTGCGTAGCGAAAATGTCATTTTAGAACATCCAAAAATTTAGCTAGGATAACAAAGACACTGGGATGGGTAACCAAAGAAATCTTCGCAGTTACTCAAGCAACTGGATATGATTTTGGAAAGGGTCAGACGTTTCAGGTAGCATTCACTACCTTTCGTCAGTGACTGAGAGACCAGATGAGAAATGCAGGTTTATAAGCACAAACTATTGATTGATATGCATATCCAGTTGCCTAGATAACTGCTTTTTGGTGTATCTTATTACCTGGATGTCTAACCTTCATCGACAAAGAAATCTTCATTTGACCACACATATTAGTATACGGTGGCACAGATGTGGAAGTTCTTGGAAACAAATCATAGCGCCACGTGTTATATCAAGTCCAACTCAGCAATGAAGAAATATCGCAGTTCGTTTGTTAATGTTACTGATACAAAACTTACCTCTTCCCCGGGTCCGATGTGTGTAAATGTTCGAACCTCCATGTTGGGTCCCTGGAAAGTGGCGATGGTGTTGGACCTGCAGCTGTGGTTGAGCATGGCCGCCCTGGTATAGGAAACAAGAGACGGTGTGAAATAAAGCTGAAAAGATGAAGGAACTAGAAAGATGAATACACACAACGTCAGAAATGACCAGTTTCTCCGTCACATATAGATACTGGAAAAAGTGAGATTTGTAACGTTAGGCGTTTAAAGCAGACATATCAGAGAGGTGCATGTTGATAAGAGTGTATTTATCAGCAGTTCTTGAGACATTTTAAAACATTTTTAACGACACGATAACTATCATTTACTCTGTATACTTACTGTGGGTAGACGCCCACTGCAATGTCCTTGAGTTCAGAATTGCTGATTCCAAAACAGTTGCAAGTGACCTATGGCAAGAGAAAACATTTTCAAATCATCGAAAACTACCACGTTGTAAACCTTGAATAACATAATACATCCAGTCTGTAGAGTGTAGATCTAACAAAGGACACAGAATAAGCAGAACTTCATGCTACTTCTCCATGATCCAACGCAGGTACGTGGTTGTAGTTCTAGATCTCAAATAGTGGGGGAAAGTCGTGCAAAGACTGTCTCATCGTCAATAGTGACATTAGTGGGGTCGTGTGGCGTAGCGACAGAGTGCTCAACCCAGAACCAAAAGGTCCAGCGTTCGAGTCCTACCATTGTGCCCTTATTAGGAAAGGCACTTTGCACGACTTTCCTCACTTAACTCAATTGAAAATGAGTATTGTCCTGTCTGTATTTGTCCTCCGCGTTGGTGGCGGCATAAAATAAGTTGAAAAAGCTTGAGAGTACTGTCACCATGTTTAGTCATGAAATGTTGGAATAAAAAAACAGTGACATCAATAGCTAGCCGTGAAAACATGAAGACAGTCTGAACACGGTCTTTTGAACAGCGCCTGTGCTGGAATCATTGTGGCAAAGGCGTGTTCAGTGCTCTAGGTAGGCCTTACCTTACCA